GGCAGGCCTCTTCTCCTGCACCCTGTTAGGTCATCTTGGAGTGGGTTCACTTGGGCGTATTCGAAACATCCTCATCCCTCAGGTGGGTTTCCCTCCTGTTTCCTGTTCCAAAACAGGACTGTGCAGACATGCTGTTCATTCTGGACTTGTCCTGTCTGCACCCCTGGGTCATTTGCCCCTCCTTTTGGATGAATACTCTGTCCCAGGTCCGTCTTCTTTTGGAGCCGAGTACTTGCATGGTATCCCCTGAACCTCTGGGATGTGTATTGGCACGTCACTATTCATCCGGGGTTCAGGGTCTGGCTCTGTTTATTGTGGGGTGTCGGCTTACCGCTTTTGTTGCCTTCCATTCGGTTTGAATGGGAGGCAACTATTTGTGTTTGCAGGATCAAGCATTGGCTCTTGGATCCCATCTTTCTAGTCACCGGTTGTTTATAGCAATAACTTCTGTCTTATTTGCCTATCTTATCTAGTTTTAAAATTATGAATAGAGTTTGCTTACACAACCTGCTCCTTTAGTTCATTCCATTTTCCCACTACTATCATGCTAGAAGAAACTTTCTAACATCTGACTCATTTGAGTTTCCAACTTTCTACCATGTCCCCTTATTCTGTTGATAGTCAGTGTGAACATTTTGTCTATTTCCATTGTCAGTCACCCTAAGTATTTATATGGTTTATATGTTTTTATATGTTTTATATGTTTGGGTGGCATACTCTAAGACTGGTCTCACATAGGCAGTGTAAATTGCTCTAAATGACCTCATGCATACTTTCTGAATAACATTCTGACTGTTGCTAGCGTAGAGTACACTACTGCTGTTATCCGATTTGTGTGCCCCTCAGGAGTTAGATTTGGTGTTACGTCCACTACCAGGTCTCTTTCTTGAATAGTCACAGGTAGGTAGTTTCCCTTCATTGTGTACTGTCTTATTTCCATAACTTTACACTTGCTTGTATTGAACTCCAGTAGCCATTTTTCTGATGATTTTCCTCATGTCACAACTCTTCTCGTTAATTTTGCGTCATCTACGAACATCCACACCTAGGACTTCTGTAGCCATGTCCTTGCATATATTAATAATAGAACTGGTCCCAGCACCAATCCATGAAGTACTCCACTAATTACTATTTGCCAGTCTATTATTACCTAAGTGTAGTTAAAGAATGAGAGCTACGCTCTTGGTGTCCCATCTTCCCAGCACTCTTTGTCCTATAATTCTTTGAAAGTACAGACAGTTTTAGACTCGACCACTTTCTCGCCTAACTTGTTCCAACCGTCTATCACTGTTTACAAAAGGGAATTTTCTTATATTTCTTCAGTATCTTTGTTTAGTTAGTTTAAATCTACGACCTCTTGTTCTTGAAGTTCCAGGTCTTGGAAGTCTTCCTTATCAATTATATGGATTCCTATTACAATTTTATACGTAGTGATCATATCGCCTCTTTTTCTTCTTCTATCTTCTAGTTTTTGCATATTTTGCCTCTAACCTCTCCTCGTAGCTCTTGTTCTTCAGGTCTGGGAGCTATTTAGTGGCATGTCTTTGCACTTTTTCCAGTTTGTTGATGTGGTTCTTAAGATATGGGCACCACACAACCACTGCACGTGTGTGTGTATTCACCTAGGTGTGCTTGCGGGGGTTGAGCTCTGCTCTTTCAGCCCGCCTCTCAAGTGTCAATCAACTGTTATTATTTTTTTCCCCACACCACACACACCCCAGGAAGCAGCCCGTGACAGCTGACTAACTCCCAGGTACCTATTTACTGCTAGGTAACAGGGGCATTCAGGGTGAAAGAAACTTTGCCCATTTGTTTCTGCCTGGTGCCGGAATCACCATCACGGATGGTGATTCCGTCACGGGCTGGAATCACGGATGTGTGTGTTTAGGTAGGTGGGGGGGTAGGCAAGCAGGAGTAAGTGACCATTGTGTCCTGGTATTTGACTATATGATCGAACTTAACCCTTTAATTGCACTGCCTCAAAATATGACACCCCCTAGTGAGCAGGAAATAAATTATCTTGAAAAAATTAATTTGTTTTTTTAAAGTGTCAAAAACCCTTCCCTCAGTATGGGTATGTCAAAAAAATTTCGAACTTGTACTTACTTTAGCTGCTATGGGGGGTCTGTAAGTTGGCGCGTGACGTCATCTTACCCTGTTCGCCTGTGACGTATGCTCCTGGAGCCAGTAGGGCGCCCAGGGCGGGGCGCGCGAATTACCGCGAATATATTTTTGTTCATTTTTTGCACACAGTTCCAAATACATTTTGTTTTTACGTGCTAATCATATGTATAATGAACACGTACACTATATTATGGCAGTAAAACATCTGTACTGTCCGAGGACACTGTGTTATGTGCATGACACTTGTGTACACATATGTTGCACATATTTACCATGTGTCATGCTAATTTATGTATATATACAATCTATTTACAGACTGTACACTGTCACACGCTATATACATTCACCGTCACACTCAGCCAGCCCTACCCACAACGCTAATTATAACCACAATCCTGGTCACTAATTCCTGTAAATGAATAATTGACCACAAGTTTATTTTGAAAAGGAACCTAAGAAGTCGTTTGAAGATTCTTAGATGGACGAAATAATGCTGTGGTGCTGTGGCTAGCGCTGTGAACATTGTGAACAGCATTGAATCACTGATATTTGAACATTGTTCCCAGTCATTATCACACTCAGGCTCTTCTATAATACTATCATGGCTAAATAATACAGATTATATATATATTATGACATTATTAGGCGATGCTGTGGTCACACGCTGAACAGCAGTGCTGTGCACTCATACTGCGAGCGCCAGCCTTGGTTGCTCACTCACTACTGAGGCTCCCACACCCGGGAATGTGGACCACGATTTTTTTGAAGATGGCGTCTGTTTATGTGAGCCCTGAGGAAGCTGATATGAACCCCATGTAGCAGCGGGAGTTTTGAATGGAACGTGAAACATACAAATACCTGGAGGTGCATAGCGCACCCCAGACGTGTGCCTGCAGGCGTGTTGCACAGTTAAAGGGTTAAGACAGTTTCCATAGTACAAGGGGTCAGGGAAGGGAGATTGGGCTTCAAAAATCAAACTACGTGAAAGTACGTGTACAGTACTGTAACTGGGATATGTGCAGTGGGAGCTTACCTTACCTTGAGATGATTTCGGGGCTTAACGTCCACGTGGCCTGGTTGTCTACCAGGCCTCCTCATTGCTGGACTGCTCAACCAGGCTGTTGGACGTGGCTGCTCACAGCCTGACGTATGAATCACATCCTGGTTGATCAGGTATTTTTTGGAGATGCTTGTCAAGTTCTCTCTTGAACACTGTGAGGAGTTGGCCAGTTATGCCTCTTATGTGTAGTGGAAGCGAGTTGAACAGTCTTGGGCCTCTGATGTTGATAGAGTTCTCTCTGAGAACCTATTACACCTCTGCTTTTCAACAGGGATATTCTGCATATCCTGCCATGCTGTCTGGTCTCATGTGGTGTTATTTCTGTGTGCAGGTTTGGGACCAGCCCCTCTACTATTTTCCATTTGTAAATTATTGTGTGTGTATCCCACCTGCGGGAGATATACATAATAATTTACATTAGTAAATGTAATAGGCATTTTAGTCAGTCCCAATAATTTAGATGTTTTACTGAGTGGATTCTACCAGTAAAGGATCTCTACACGCTATCCAGGTCAGCAGTTTCTCCAACTTTGAAAGGGGCTGTCATTGTGCACCAGTATTCCACTTTAGAGAGCACTAGAATCTTGAAAAGTATCATCATCGTATAGCATCGCTAGTATGTAGTAGTATTAGTAGTAGTAGTAGGCATCCTTCAGTCTAAGACTATGGAGTTGCGCCCTGATAGGGCGCAAAGCCTGGGTAGGTAGATATGGAGGAGAAGCTGTTACCCATGCAGCAGGTCCCCCCTCTCCATGTTACTAAAATTATCCAATAGAAAGGCAAATGCCAATACACATGGTTCCAGCAACGTCGCAGGAGCTGCCAGAACGAGGTCGACGTCAACAACGAACTGCCTTAGGGGCTCCAACTCCGGATTTTTCCTCGAGGTTGACTCCTGAAGCCTTTCCCAAAAAAAGGGGTATGGCCGCAAGGCAGCGGAGGTTTAAAATCGGGGTTTTCCTTCCCCTAGATGGGCTGCCTTCCCAGGCTATCGAATCCCATCTACCCGACGCAGCTGGTTTTAAGGCGCCAGAGGCACGCCCTCGCCCCTTCTCCTGTCGGTAAAAGCAGTTCCGCCGGACTTAAAAACTAAGCCACCCGTGCAGGCAAGGAGTTGGACTTGGTTGTCAGAGGCTATTGGAGACGCATGCTGTATAGGAGCATTTTATAGGTCATGGGAGCTCGTCCCCCATTACCACCCCCTGGCTATGACAACCCCTTGGAACCCCCTTACGCTAGTGTGTAAGGTTCTTGTTATGCAACCTGTCATTTTTCTTGCAGATATGATGGCTATTTTATTGTGTTCTTTAAAGGTAAGGTCTTCTGACATGAGTACAGTACACCCAAATCCTTTACATTGCCTTTTCGTTCTATGTTATGATATGACTGCGTTTTGTACATGGTTTTCGTTTTTATTTTTTCATTTTTTTCCGTAGTGCAGGAGCTGGAACTTATTTTCGTTTTCGTTAAACACCATATTATTTTCTGTATCCCATAGAAAGACCTGATTTACATCTGATTGGAGGTTTGATGTGTCCTCTATGTTGTCTACTTATACAAGTAGAATACATTCTACAGTTAATTATTCTTTTAATTTTACCTAGAACTAAGATGACATTTCGAGAAATCCTCTTACAATTAAACCAAGCTGCAAGAGTACTAGTCAGAGGGATGGAAGCCCTAAACAAGAAAATAAAAAACACAATATGCAGTCATATTTAATGAAGTATACAGTATATGTATGTACTGTATATATGTGTGTATGTATGTATGTCTGAGAAAGTACATAATGTTTAAAATTTGTGTTTACTTCCAGGTGACATTTAAATTGGGCTTGGGATCTACAGTGGTATCTGATGATCTTGTGAAAGGTGTTCTGAAAATTGGAGCCCAAGTCAAAGCCAGCCATCCAGATAAAAATCAGTATGTTGATGCCATTGTGAATAAGATTCAGGACTGTAGTCAGTATACTGTTGGTAAGTTTTGCTAATCTACATTAAAATTCTTAATATAACTTGCTTTGCTGTATGATAATTTTGCTATAAGGATTTGATTTATTTTATATTTTTGTCTACCATGCTACATAGTTTTTCTGGCTTGATAACTTATTTTCATAATTACTTATTTATATCTGTACATTAATTTTTAATACATTTTTCGATATTATTTATGATTTAATATTTTTTGTATATTATTTATGATTTAATATTTTTTGTGCTATCTCGTATATTGACAGGATGAAATAATTTTGCCTTTTACATTGTTACAGGAGACAGGCTTCATTCAACATTTTTCTATATAAAAAATGTTGTGTTATCTCATGAATTGGACATGAAATGACCGCCATGGATAATTTGGTGCAATGTTGTTGTGTTGGTTCTCTACAATGCTATACCTGTTGAAAAGTATTAACTTTTCTGGTGGGAGCCCCGTCGGCTCCTTGAAGTTAACTAAACTGATATGAGCTTTATTAGTTTAGGGTCATCAGTCACTTGGAGTGCTTAGACCTACCGGGAACTACGAGTCTGAACCTGACCCCCTCAGAGAGGCTCAGGGTTATGGCATTTGAGCACTTTACATTTAACCCTAAGCGTGTTGAACAGTCTCGGGCCTCTGATGTTGATAGAGTTCTCTCTCAGAGTACCTGTTGCACCTCAGCTTTTCAACCGGGGTATTCTGCACATCCTGCCATGTCTTCTGGTCTCATGTGATGTTATTTCTGTGTGCAGGTTTGGGACCAGCCCCTTAATTATTTCCCCACGTATAGATTATTATTTATCTCTCCATCCTGTGCTCAAGGGAACACAGATTTAGGCTCTTTAGTGGGTCCCAGTAGTTTAGATGTTTTATTGAGGGGATTCTAGCAGTAAAGGATCTCTGCACGCTCTCTAGGTCAGCAATTTCTCCAGCTTTGAAAGGGGCTGTCATTGTGCAGCACTACTCCATTCTAGAGAGCACAAGCTTTTTGAAAAGTATCATCATCGATACAGCATCTCTAGTGTGAAAAGTTCTTGTTATCCAACCTGTCATTTTTCTTGCAGTTGTGACGGCTACTTTATTGTGTTCTTTAAAGGTAAGGTCCTCCAACATGAGTACTTTGGCTACATTTATTAAACAGTTTACAAACATGAAAATTTCTCGCACATTTGTTGTTGTTCTCAATCAACTGTTGTTATTGTTATAAACAGCCTCCTGGTGCTTCGGAGCTCATTAACTGTTTAATAATTGTAAACAAAGCCGCCAAAGATTGAGAAAAGATGTTCAGGTTCGTACATAAGTGCTTTCGTGAATCTGGCCCCTGGCGAGACTCCCCACAGCAAAGCCTCAAGTCGGAAAAGTTACCTGTGAGCGCACAAAATCAGGAAAATGTGTATACTCGTTTCAGTTTTCTCACATTATATACATGCTACGTCATGTATATAATGTCCAAAAGCCTGGCGAGACTCCCCGCAGCAAAGCCTAAAATTTCCCGAGAACGAGCACCAATTTGCACACCACAACCTAATGTGTATACTCGTTCAGTTTGATAACATCAATTTTCATGTTACATCGCTCGTTTTGGTATCAAATTGTTCACAATATACAGGCGCGCATTTTAAAACTAGTCCCATAATAAAAGCACAATAAATAGAATTTTAACATATTTTAAAATTTAAAATTTAGACCCAAAAACATATTTATAATCTTTCAAGTGTTCTGACATCAAGTTTCGTGTTACATCTTTTATTTTGGTATCAAATTGTGCGCATTCTAAAGGCGCTTATTTTGAAACTATCCCGAGGTCGATCAGATAAAAAATGAATTTTATGCAAATATTTTTGTAGTGGACCTGTCCACGGCTAGGAATCAAAAGAAAAAAAATTGACGTGATTGGTGTCCAAAGCGAGCGATACTGTTAATCTGATTTGAAAATGTGAAGTTTTCAATATTCAATTTTTAAATTATTTTTTATTTTTTTATTTTTCAAGTTATGTTGGTGATCAAGTGACAAAGTTGGAGCATTTGCCGAGTTAATTATGCACAAAAAATTGGAAAGTGCTTGTGCAAGTTTTAAAAATTGATGTTATGTCCAATCGAATATGTATGTTTTGTGCCGTTTAAGAGTTAAAATGCCCGGTGACTGGTGAGATTTTTCCAAATATGAAATATAGTGAATTTTTTTTAACAAGTCTCCCATTGTTTGGCATCAGTGTCGTGAAAATTTCATCCCAATATGTTAAGAAATAAATATTTTTTTTTATGCACCTGTCCGATGCACAAAAAAGAAAAGTAGTACTAAGGAGGGTCCATAAAGTGGATATGCAGCTGGTATAACCTGGAGGGCCAGATTTTACACATACTGTATTAAGAAGTTAGTACGTTATGCTGTATTTTATTATATATCATGTAAATACATTGCCCAATGGCAATATTTATTATGTTCTTTTGTACGAAAAGCTGACAACCACTTTATTTTTTTCTCTCCTTTGTTTATATGTGGATTTTGTTATGACTTCTACATGTTGGAGAATGCATATCCGGCACAAAGGATGTGAAATTGGAACGAAATTGGTCAACATGTTAATCAGCAACAGGTGGCAGAAGTTGACCTTTTTCGGGTCGAGAGCCTCTTTTCTTGGGTTATATATTTAGTTTAGCAACATTATTACGATAATAAAAGCTATAAAAATACTTATTTTAGAACCGATTTATTAATTTTATTATTTCGAGGCCGTAGGTCACTAAACTGTGGCGACGAAATCAAACGAAACACGCATGGTGCTGTGTGTATGTGAATTAGACCCGTCCACTCGTGCTGGAGTTGTTGTGCCAATAATATAAATAATTTTTCAAATAGCAGATGTCTATCATATTACAGTATATTTGTTGTTTTATTTAGTTTAGTTTAATTAGGATAAGAAAGAGCTATTAAAACACCGGTTTTAGAAATGATTTATTAAGCTGGAACTTTCAATGTCATGGGTCACTAAACTATGACGACACAGAGAAAAACCAAATGAGGTTTACTGTACAGTATTCCCTTATCTGTCCACCCTCACTCCTCTTGTTTCATCACAGAAAATGCCTATAAAAAGATTTCACCACATGTAGCTAGGTATTCATGCTTAAGCCTTTAAATTTATTTATAAAGATATGTGTGCCACAAATCTTTGAACGAAAATCATGGAAACTCAGTTGTTCTCTTGTGTGGACCACTCTGGCTGGTGTTTGTTTAATATGGTTTACTTATTGTGTGGACCACTCTGGCTAGTGTTTGGTTAACATGGTTCACTTGTTGTTTGGACCATTCTGGCTGGTGTTTAGTTAATATGGTTTGCTTATTGTGTCGACCACTCTGGCCGGTGTTTGGTTAATATGGTTCACTTGTGTAATCCAAATTGTCATGTGAAGGAATTATTAATTGTAACCTGTGATAGAAGGGGAAAGTTTTCCATCAATCTGTGAACTCTGTCCCAACATTGTAAGCAAATCAGCACTTCCCCCACTTTGGCAAACCAGAATTCGCCAAACTGGGTGAGTAAAGTTGGCCTGAAAAGTGTGGGAGCTAACCCCTGAATCGAGGTTGTACTGTAATGAAATACCATTTGCTGAGTGAGTCCCGGAGGCTTCCTGACACCCTCCCTCCCTCCAGTTGGCAGTTTCTGGTTTCGTTTTGCTTTTGATGCTTAGCGTCCGAACTGAGGTTGGGTAGTCGGGGTGTTGGATCGAGAGGGGGGGGGCTCACACACCGCCCTGTTTGCTTGTTTCCTTGGGAATTGAGGGTGTTCTGCCTCTCTCTTCAGTTTTTGTTTGCAATTTTCTTACCATGTGGGGTATGTTTTGTTATGCCTGCTTTTCTGGGTGCCTAACCCCCGATCGATGGCAGATAAGGAAAACACCCAACCATGGGGATTTTCTAGGGGGATTGCTCCCTTTGCCTTTTTTAGGGGCCCAGGTTCTGACTTGTGGTCCCCGGTAGGCTGAACTTCATTGACTAAAGCCCTGGTTTAATATATGGCATGTTAGCCCATAGCTTCAGGGAATCTCTGGGGCTCATTCAGTAAGTGGAGTTTCATTATTTTCAACGCTGGTTTTTTCTAACGATAATAGTATTTGACTTCAGCATGTGTTGAGTGCTCTTGTACCTATTATCTGAAAGCATTGATTTATATTTACATTATCTAGCTGTTCTTCCCAACTTGTATATGTACAGGCATGGTTTATTAGTTCTCAATTAATCAGTTTATAATTCAAATTGAATTAGGAGAATTCTCCTCTTGGGTTATAGACTGACTAAACAGGTCTGTTGTATTTGCTGGTCTGAACTTTGATTAGGTTTACTTCTGAGTAACGGTTATTTGTAATCATTGTTCCATATCAGTTCATGATTTGAAAATAAGATAAAGGGTGTTTTTTTTCCTAGTTCTGCTTTTTTGTTGGTTTAAGGCTAATCTGTCACACATTCATATTAGGTCATTTGTATACGACTGTTCATTTAGACGGCTTCCTGGAATTATCTTTAGAAGTTTGCATATTTTATCCACAATTTAATGGGATCAGTTGGATTCTATTTGGTAATAGTTTTTTTTTTTACCTATCATTTGTTTTTCTTTTTTCAGTTTTTGATGATGGTGATATTACAACACTACGTCGAACGTCGCTGTGTTTGAAAAGTGGTAGACATTTTGCTGAAAGTGAAACACTGGATCAATTGCCTCTGACACATCCCGAGCACTTTGGTACCCCAGTTGGAGGAGCAAGGAGAGGACGTAGATCCAGACAGAACCAGTAAGTTCTAGATGTTCAACTCATAATATGTAATATCTTCATACGAGCCTAGGTCTCTTCCTGTAACTACACTTAGGTAGTTATGTGTTGTCCCGTCTTGAGTACTGCTCAGTACTCACTTCCCCCTTCAGAGCAGGAGAGATTGCTGAAATAGAGGGAATACAGAGAACATATACGGCACGCATAGACGCAATAAACCTAAATTATTGGGATCGTCTCAAAGCCCTCCAAATGTACTCACTAGAAAGAAGACGAGAGAGATATCAAATAATATACTGTACACCTGGAAGATACTGGAGGGCCAAGTACCAAATCCACACAGTAAAATAACAACGTACTGGAGTAAACGATATGGAAGAAAATGTAGAATAGAACCAGTGAAGAGCAGAGGTGCCATAGGCACAATCAGAGAACACTGTATAAACATCAGAGGTCCGCGGTTGTTCAACGTCCTCCTAGCAAGCATAAGAAATATTGCCGGAACAACCGTGGACATTTCCAAGAGGAAACTAGATTTATTCCTCCAAGGAGTGCCGGACCAACCGGGCTGTGGTGGGTATGTGGGCCTGCGGGCTGCTGCAAGCAACAGCCTGGTGGACCAAACTCTCACAAGTCAAGCCTGGCCTCGGGCCGGGCTTGGGGAGTAGAAGAACTCCCAGAACCCCATCAACCAGGTATCAACCAGGTAATTACTTACGTAATTACATACATACATATACGCTTTGCTATACAATAGTGTGTTTAACTCCGTGGTATAAATTAAAATGAAATGTAACAAGTTAGTTGCTAAATTGAGGTTGCACTTTAGAGGTTTAAAAGGCTATCATAAACCACTATCTTTAGTTTACAACTTTCTTAACAGTTATAAGTTACAATGTTTCATATACTTTATAGTGAAGCCAAGAAATATCCAATATTGGTCATCTGTTCACATGAACTTTTAGTTTTGAACTTTAGTTTAGTTTTATCCCAAAATTCATGAATCTTCTTTCAGAAGAGTTTATCATCAACTTCAGATTTTAAAGTGTTATCTGTCTCTTTCTTATTTCTCTTAATTGTTTGGTGATATTGTGACCTAGTGCTTTATGATTACAAGATGTTCGCTGCGTATTAATTGTATTCAATGCCGTTTCCTTTCAATATATTGCTTTGTTGATTTAGTTGAGTGATTGAACACTGTCCTTTTCTTTGGAGCCTTTGTTGCACCAAATATATATGATTGTGTCAATTATCAAAAACAAAAAACTGCAGTATTTCATACTGATTTGAGATAAAAAAATATTATCTTAGAAGTAGCAAAATATGGCGTACATGTATGTAGGAGTGAAATTCTTTATTAGAAGAGTTTTAAGATATTTTTCATACATTTAACCTGGGCATTTCCCAAGTCTTGTTTTCTAATTTAATAGAAATGGCAGCATGCTTATGTCTGAAAAAAATGAAGTTGTACCACATTAACATTTGTATATAAATTTAATACTGCACCAAGAAATAAAGCAGTGACATTTTCTTTTAGGGAAGGTGATGATTCTGGTGGTGATGATGATGATGATGTACACAAGCGACATCGTTCTCGGCGGGACGAATGGGAATCCGATATTGGAAAGGTTGTTTGTGTTGAACTTGGAGATAAGAAAAAACAGAAAGATAATTGGTTTCCAGGGTTAGTTGTTGCCCCTACATCCCAAGACTCTGTCAAGATTGAGACCAAGAAAGATTACCTTGTCAGATCTTTCCAAGATGGAAGATAGTAAGTTGGGATACATTTTGAATGATAACTTTATCTGTTAGGTTCTTGTGTGTAATAACTTTAATATTCTTTATGAACATAAGTGGTTGTAGCCTGGTGGCTGAAGTATTATTCTTAGCACTAAAGGAAGGGGGAGTAATTGTATTTCTCTTCATATCCATTTGACTTTCTTTATGGCCATGGTTTTAGGTATTTGCCTGGGCTCAAGTTTAATGGGATGGGCATCATTGGTGTCCTGGTTGATTAGTGGTAAGGCAGTTTTTCAGTTATTTTTATTGGGTTTAAGTATTATTTGGTATTCGTTTGTACAAAACATATCTTCATGTTTTTATTTTTATGACCCTCGGCATTTTTTCCCCAGTACGTGGTGTCATGACACTCATAGCTTCCTTGCCCTGAGCGGGCAGGATTTTGGTCATTGCTTCTGGTAGGGTATGAGAGTCATATATTCCTGGGGAATGGTAAACATTTAATTAAAAAATAGTGAACAAATCCACAAGGGCCGTGATGAGGATTCGAATCTGCGTCCGAGAGGATCCCAGGCGCGCCTTAATTGACTGTGCCATGACATGGTCTTAAGAATTGCAACTGGGAGTGCAACTACCCTCATATGGACCGTGAAGTCTCTCCGAGACAAAAACCAGGGTCTTGCACAATACCTCCATGCTCCCAAGCTCTGTCAATTAGCTGTTCTACCTCTTCGCCCTTACTTCATTACACACAGAAATAACAATAGCGTGATGCATCAAATGAACAAATCCACAAGGTCGTGATTTGTTCATTTGATGCAACTCACTATTGTGATTTCTGGTGGTTTACTCGAAACTAGCTTGACCCTGCTAGTATCAATGACCACCACCAGGCCAAACTGGTATTGACCCAGTACTGCTCCTTGTGTTGTCAAATTTCAGCGGGTCCTTTTGCTTCTTGGCTAAGTGCAGGGGCCAATTGCTTGTTGTATCATTCTACTGAAACACACACATGTGGACACCCGCACTCTCAACCTTTTCTGTCTTGATTTTTCTCTCTGCTCGTCATCTCTTTACTGTACTTAGATTTCACATGTGGACACCCGCACTCGCAGCCTTTCCTGTCTTGATTTTTCTCTCTGCTTGTCATCTCTTTACTGTACTTAGATTTTACATAGTGGGTTCTTGATGAGCTCCATAACAGTGACCATTTCCCCATCCTTGTCACCTTTTTCTCTTTCCACTCTCCCCTCTCCTTCCCTAGATGGCAGTTTGCCAAGGCTGACTGGAATCTATTCACCATCCATGCTACTCTTTCCAGCCTCTCCGCTCTCCCTCTCCCTTGCGCCCTTCTCCTTTTTCATGACACTGTATTCGATGCTGCCCTCTGCTCTATTCCTCGCTCTACCTCCTGGCGCATGCAGGAGTGTGTTCCCTGACGGAATTCAGACAGTGCTAGGGCTGTCCACTGTAAGCATGCAGCCTGGAAGAAACATTGACGCCGGCAGACAGCCGATTCTTTTGTTTTGTTTTGGAAGGCGAGTGCAGTGCCCGTAGGACCATCCGTACAGCTAAATGTGAGAGCTGGAATTCTTATGTCCTCACCATTACGTCTAATACTCCTCTGCTGCAGATCTGGAAGAAAATTCACAAGATAGCGGGTAAGTTTCTTTCAGATGTCTCACCGGTCCTTCACCTCTGTGGTACTCTTGTAGTGGAACCGAACTGGGTTCCCACTTTTCGACTGTTAGCTCTGGTTCTCATCTTCTTCAATCCTTCATAAGCCTGTTCTTGAATCTCATCCCTTAGATTTTTGCACTCATCTCCAACTTTCCTATGACGATCCCTTCTCTCTCTCCGTATTTGTCTGCTCTGGCCCTGTGAATTTCTTTGGCAGCAGGATCAGCTGACATTCATTATGAAATGCTTCGCCATCTCCTTCTGCGCATTTCAGTATTTACTGAATCTGTACAACCATATCTGGGAGTCGTCGTCAGTCCCTGGGGACTGGCTCAAAGTGGTTGTTCTCCCTATTTGGAAACCGGGGTCTCTCGGGACATTTCCTAAGGACTTCTGCCCCATTTCCCTCACAAGTCACATCTGCAAACTCTCTGAACATATGGTCAATGTCCATCTGATGTGGTTCTTGGAACACTATCATCACCTCTTACCTGCTGCAGCACGAATGATGTCATGGTGAACTTAAAGGTCTATATATTTATACTGCTTTTGCTGTGAAGACCTCCTTTGTTGCTGTCCTTTCTTGACCTGGAAAAGACGTACGACACTACCTGGAGATACCATGTTCTGTCCTGACTTTGTTCTCTTGGCCTTCATGGTAATCTCCCTCTCTTCCTCCAAAGCTTCCTCTCTGGTTGTTTCTTTAGAATGAGGCTTAGTATCACTCTCTCTGCCTCTTCAGCAATATGAAGGTGTACCCCAAGATAATGTTCTGAGCTTTACTCTTTTTCCTAGTTGCCTTCAATGGTCTTCTTTAATCCTTTCCTTCTGGCATCTTCTCAGCTCTCTATCTCGACGATCTTACCCTCAGCTGTCGAGGTGATGATTCGCCTTTCCTTCAATGGTGGCTTCAACTTGTGATTGATGCCGTGTCATCTTGGGCCACCAGCCATGGTTTCAAGTTCTCTGCGACTAAGACTTGTGCTATGACTTATACTCAGAAGCAAGTTGTTCTTCATTCCCCTCTGTCGCTTTATGGTCATCCCCTTTCATACAAAGATTCTGCCAAGCTTTTGGGGCTAATCTTTGACACTTGTTTGTCTTGGTTGCCCCATACAGTATCTCTTACCTCCGAGATGAATGCTCTAAGGCCCTTAACTTAAGGTCTTGTCCCATACTTCTTGAGGATCTGATAGGCGCATGCTCTTCTCTTTACATTCCTCTCTCGTTCTGTCTAAACTCGATTATGGTTCCACTACTTACTAGTCTGCTTCTCCTACGCTGCGCCGTCTTAACGCTCTGCACCATACTGGGTTACGCCTCAGCTCTGGTGCCTTTCGTTTGACTCCTACCCTAAGCCTGTATGTTGAAACTGGTGTCTTGTCTCTACAGCATCACAGTGATTGCTACTGTCTTTGCTACCTTGCGTGTGGTCCTTGCAACACCCTCACTCTTGCTTGTGTCGTGCCTTGACCTTTACCCTCTCCTGCAGTTCCTGTTCCCATTCACCACCTACCTCTTTCTCTACGGTTGTCTCGCTTACAAAATGCTCTTTCGGTTCGTATTACCAATATTTTCCCTCGTGTCATTCTGTCTTTGCCCCCATGGAGGGTCCCTCTTCCTGAATTTTGTAAAACCGTGACCCATGT